AAATACTTTGAACCCATGAGATTAGTCACAGCAGGCAACTATAACTGGAATGCCGTTGATATAAGATTTTGTTCAATTGCTATCTATTCAGACAACGTACAGAGTGTTTAGGAACCAATTAGCCCACGAGTGAGAGTGTAGCGCTGCAAATTGAATAGATTTTCACTTGTGTAAAGAAAGTTTCAGATGCAAGCAAATGCGCTGGAATCACTTTACTGCTTTACTGGGAGGGGAAACAAGAAGCAAGAGAGGTATATATGTAAAGAAAATAGAAGTCAAAAATAAAATAATTAAAAAAATTATTACATTTTCCATATTCAATTTGAATACGTGTGATTGTTGTGTGCAGAAAGGAAAGTTGAGTATAAAACGCAACAAAAGTCAATGGATAGTTTAGAAAACTTTTATCTTCAATAGTTCAGAAACAAAAAAGAAAAAAATAAAATAAACAAAAAGCAGATTATCTATTTAATAAATAAATGGCATGGAAGTATTAGTAATTTTTTTAAAAATACAATACAAGCCAAGAAAATGTTGGCAAATTTAACATTTTGGCTTATGCTTTCTTCTTCTCTTTATTGTAAGTAAATGGAGTATTAAGTTTATCAATATGTTTGTAACGCAGTGAACGAATCATTGGTGATCACCATGATTAGAACTAATAGGATAGCTATGCCTACTGACTAGTTTGTCTCTAGTCACTAAACGAGACCCACAGTTTTTGAGTTAATTGAATGAAAAGCTGCACAGTGATTTCATGTGAATCCATATCAATTGAGTTAGCAAATGAGGGAATTTGAGACCATACATGTAAATTGACTGCTGAAAAAAGATTTCTATTTTTACATATACTATATACTTACCATATATAATATATGTTATATAGTATATTTAAAAGTAGATTTAATCAATTGGATTTGAGAACTTTTGAATATAGTATATAAAATATACTTACATTCGAAAACGTGAACTAATTAAAACCAAGACAGTTCACGTATTCAAATTGTTCAAGTTTTCGAGTGTCAAACAAGAATAAAGTAAATACATATTTACACATATAAATTCACATTTTGTTTCTTTTTTTGTGTACATATTAATTTATACTAAAGATACATATATAAAACTTTTTATTTAAAAAAATCAGTCATTTTTTTTTGGGTCTTCTTTCTTTCTAACACTTGAAACACAGCATTCTCCCTTAGACGTCTAAGTACATTCATATCCTTTTGATCGACGCCTTCGTGACTGGCCCACTGTATTGCTTTGTTGAAAATTTCAACTGCTTCACTTGGTATAATTTTCACCGATGCCTCTGAGATGCAGTCTTCGTCAGGTTCGTCCTCATGTCCAATATCATCATGCGCATTATCTTCATCAATATCTTCGTTCCATTCCTTAACATTTGATAACGTAAATTCACTCTGAAATTGTTGATAAGAACAAAATTTTCAATAACTCACATATCTTTGTACATATCTGCGCTATCGAACAAACCTCAGCATTTAAACTGTTAAGAAGATCGGCGGTGTTGCACATCAAGGAGCGAAGTTCAGTTTCCCATTTTTCTTTTAAAATCGCCAAAGGCATACTATCTTCGGGGTCATCATCATTCACAGTAAAATTTAAAATATTTTTCCAGCACTTAGACAGAATTTCTTTGCCGACACGACTCCAAGCGGCTTCCAAAAAATTTATAGCACTTTTTAATGTTATTTTCTTCATAGACTCGAGCAAGTCAGATTGCGTTGCTGCTATTGAAGCAAGAAGGCTATTTCTGTAGTATAACTTCGTGATTTTTATTGCATTCTGATCCATCGGTTGAATGAGGGGAGTAACGTTTGGTGGCATAAACATTGCGAATATTTGCCCATCTTCCGTTGTCAGTTCAGCCTCATTTGGATGGGAAGGAGCATTGTCGATTAGAAGAAGAGCTTTAATTGGCAAGTTTTTCTCTTTTAAAAATGATTTCACCTTAAAAAGCGACAAATTTTAGGAAAATTTATACAGCATTCAAAAGGAAGAATCCCTACCTGAGGAACATTCTTTGAAAATAGTCGCCGTCATCCAGGCGGACTTTGAGTTTTTATAGTTGGTAGGACACTGGAGGTTTTTAAAGCATCGTGGGTTTTTCGCCTTTCCAATTACCAAAAGTTTGAGTTTATGAGATCCGGTGGCGTTTGAGCAACACAAGAAAGTGATTCGCTGCTTCTCCGACTTTACGCCTGGGGCTCTCTTTTCTAAAGTGGACACGTACGTTTTTTCTGGCAGAAGTTTCCAAAATAAGCCGGACTCATCAGCATTATATAGCTGATCGTTACACAATTCGAATTCAGCAATTTTATCTTTAAGTTTTTCTTTAAACGGGTCCACTAACTGAGACTGCGAAGACAGTTTTTCGCCAGATATTTGCAGAAGTCGAATACCGTATCTTTTTTTGAATCCTTGAAACCATCCATCACTAGCATAAAAGTCACCTTCCTTTTCCTTAAATTTTGAATGCAGTTTCTTGGCTTTTTCTTTCAGCATTAGAGCACTTACTGGCCAGTTCTTATTTCGCATACAGAGAAACCAACGATAAAGAGATTTCTCCATTTTGGGCAGCTCTGAAGTACGCAGGGTTTTTCTTTTTCCAGGCCCAGAAAATGTGTTGTTTACGCATTTTAAAATCACGTTTCTTTTCGCTTTAATGCCACAAATTGTTGATTTAGCAACATTATATTTCTTTGCTAAGTATGTCACACTCGACCCCTTTTGTAAGAAATCGAGAATTTCAGCTTTTTTTTTTAATGTCAAGCACACAGGTTTTTTCGCACTCATATTTACCTTGCCAAAGACGAAACGTTTCATGTAAAGACAAAATTGTTACTAAAATATTTTGCATTTTTCATGCATTCACAAATCAATAGCATAATTTGCTATTAGGGAATTCCCCAATTTCAGAATTATTCGACATCAATGCAAACTATATTAAAAAATTGTAAGGTTTACTGTTCATGTTATAGAGCTTTACTGACTTGTTCACGTTTTAGAATAGTCAATGATGAGAAAAGGTTGTTCACGTTTTGGGGTGTTCACGTTTTAGAGTATTCACGTTTTCGAATGTCTGCTGTATGTCTATTGGGTTAGAGAATACAATTTAAAAAATATTTGTCCGTTATATATTATAGAATATACTTATTCAATATTCTATATATTTTTTTAGCGATTATAGCTAACGAAAATAGCTTAAGAAAAACAGGAATGTCATGAATAACTAATTGGAACATAGACATTTGTGTGAACAAAATTGAGACCAAATAATTTTCAACTTTTTTTTTATAATATAATTGCTATTAGATCTTATAATATGGTAACCGGAGGTCTAAAAATCTTATGAAAATCTTGAATAATAAAATCACATTACTTTTGAAATCACTTTGATAATAAATATAAATATTTACAGTTTTAAAATTCTGTAACAATATTATTCAAACTTAGTTTCGTACAGTTTGAAAATAATTGAGTTCAATATAAAGCATACTACGATGGCACTGCAACTAATGTAAAATTATAAGTATGTCTAAGAACCATATGAGTACTGCATAACGGTCCTTGCAGAGACATACTTTGAACGTAATTTACACTGCGTTTCCAGCATTTAGCACAGAATCTAACAAAACCGTAATGTTACGGGCTTCGTTTGTGAGATAAAATACGATATTTGGTGATATTATATTAAAGGTTTTAGTATTTGCTATGGTTGAATAAAATACCGTATTAATGAAATTCATTCCCTACGCTCTTTGTAGATGCTCATTGAAGACCGTAAATGGTTTGTGTATGTGATCCGTTCATACGGTCCTTGTAGTTAGGACCACAGCGTTCGCTGAATTGTAAACTAACTGCAATACCAACTTTTGCCTTTGGCGGTACTCAAACTGTGCTTGTATAAAATCAACTGCAGAACTCGTCATTTTACAATAATTCAATGGGTCACTTGTTACAGTAAATTTCCGGGTTATAGTACTTCAAAGACTAACTTGCCTTTTATTCACTAGAAGGACCAGTTTTTTAATTTATTGCCGCCAGAATCCGTGGGTAAATTGAATTGCGTATCCATTCTCATGACATGAACAACCCGTCGAAGCCGTTATATGTTAACTCTCAGATTTATAACAATGTCGGTTGCGATAATCGTCGCCAACTTATAGAAGAACAAAGATCGCATGCAGAACTTTTCTTTCGAAAACTTTAGTGCTGCTTCATCTTTCTATGATATCGTATACATATTTGCACCATACAGGAAGACAGGTAGGATGAGCGACCTTTAAAGCAGAAGTTTTGTCTGTCGACAGAGAGCTCTACATTCCAATTGCTAATAGTAGCACCTGCTGACAATAGTGAGTACTCTTCTGAACTCCAAGCTTGTTGTTGTTTGTAACGACGTTGCCAAGGAACATGAAATTCTTGACAGAATCGGATGAAGAGTCACCAGGTACCAGTTCGGCGACGCATATTTCTGGCAGTAGCTGACATATACTTCGTTTCACTGCGAACCCCTTGGATCGAGTATCTAAAGCAATGTATATAATTGTATTTAAATTAGAAAATTCCAGCACAATCTTTCCGTTATCTAGATACTTAGCTTTCATTGGGTAATGTTCTAATAGTACGCTCAGCGAGTCTTATCCCCGGGACTTTAAGTGTGGGTTGTGCACAGGGTTTGACAACTGTCACATAAAATCAGTCGCTAGTGATGGACGTAAGTATGCTTTGAAATTGAAAACCAAATGTAGATGAAGTATTCCTTCTTCCATTCCAACTAAGTATTTCACTTCATATATTTCATTATGCTGTGTTTTTTATATATTTTCATATTTACGGTATAATTTTCTCATATCTGATAATTAAGTTGGTGTTTATGATTTTGCTGTCAGGCATTATTTCCAGTAGGAGCTCAGTACTTATCTAAGTGCATCATAACATAATTATTTTTATTTTTATCGTTTCATATGCTGTTATACCTTAAATCTGACTATTAACTAAATAAAAGACAAAATTTACGAACAACACAAAGACACAGTGCTTTCTGCATCGCACTCAGCTCCAACCAGTTGAGTCCATTTACCTATTTACCAACCAACAGCATTCCTAAATTATAATATCGCATTCTCAAAGAATTCTTTCAGATGCAATGAATTCTCTATGCTCGAAGCAGAATAGTTCAAGTGCAATATTTTGTTTAACAGAGTCATTCCAACAAAAGGACTAAGTGAATCCTTTTATTTGCAACTTATGGAAGAAAGTGCATGTGTGTTCACATTTTATTACATGTCATTTGTAGTTGTTGTTGTTGTTGTTGATGCTGCTGTTGTTATTGTTAGGGAAAAGGAAAATATTCATTGCATCAAGCAGAGAAGTAGAGAAGTAGAGAAGCTGAGAAGCTGAGAACGGTATGGAGACAAGCATGGAGTGCAACAATTAACCACAGGCAACATTGAGCTTAAGTGACTTAGAAGTCAATGTGATAAATTGTTTGGAATCAAAGTTAAGTTATGTTGACATGACTTAAGGTTCACTTAATTACAAACCATTTTTAAGTGGTTTCGAGTTAAATATTGCATATAGGATGAAGGGTCAAATATATTTTTCATGGCACCTTGAAGACTACAACCCACAAGTAAAGGCAAATGTTAGGGTAGGCTTTTCAGCACATGTAAATAAAGTGGATGGAAATTCTAGGAATGAGAAATTTTGGTTAATTTTAAACAGTACTACTAAGGAGTGAAAAAAAAGCAATTATTTATTTTGCAAATCAAAAAACAGTAAAAAATGTTGAGGATATTTTCTGAAATGAACAACATTGATCCATAAAATGATTCGTTCATGAGAAAAATGGTTCGTGTGTAGACAATAATTTAAAGAAAGTGCATTCTTTATCTCGATACATTTCTTTTGCTTAACTACTGCAGTGCAACTTAATTAGATATAGAATGGAAAAATATCATAAAAAACCTATTAAATTATTAATTAATTAATCATTTTAATTAAATAAGTTTTAATAAGATAAGTTTTAATTAAATAATTTTTAATTAGATAATTTCTAATTAGATACTTTTTAATTAGATAATTATTAATTATTAGATAATTTCTAATTAGATACTTTTCATTTAGATAAATATTAATTACATAAGTTTTAATTAGTTAGGTTTTAATTAGATAAGTTTTAATAAGATAAGTTTTAATTAGATAAGTTTTAATTAGATAATTTTTTAGATAATTTTATATAGATAATTTTTGATTACATAATTTCTAATTAAACAAGTTTTAATTAAATAAGTTCTAATTAGATGAGTTTTCATAAGATAAGTTTGAATTAGACAAATTTTAATTAGATAAATTTTAAGTAGATAAAATTGAATTGATTCGATTTAAATAAATTAGTTTCAATTAGATAAGTTTCAGAACTAGAAATTGTTTCCTACAGTATGTATGATCCACTGTTTTTTATGTGAAGGCACACGTCGTTGCGCTCTACTTCGACTGGACCCCCACTGTCCGACTTCGTGGTAGGCCTGGAGAGTATTATTAGGCACGGAATTACTGTCAACTTCTTGTATTAGGAAATTCTCAAATAATGACTTTTCGACGCTTAATGTAGAGCGTTAACAACCATGGTCGCGGTGCTTTGATCTACTGGTTGCCAGTTCCTTATTAATTCGTTATCCTACTTGTAGATAGAAAGATTGAACTCCACTTTAGTTTAGCTGTGTTTGATAAACAGAGTAGAATCACGTGTATGTATTATTTCTACTAACGATCTAATACCTTATTTTAGGCTGGATTACCACAGTCTCGTAGAGATCCCTTTAGAGTTTGTTACACATTGTGTTGCTATATAAAACTTAGAGGGCTTAAAATCATTTCGAACTTTTGAAAGCATGAAATTCTTTTAAGGGGAGATACTGCGTGTGACTAAGACCATGCTAATAGGATAGGTTGTGATGGCCATTCGTGTGCACTAAAATTCTATCTTAAAACTATCTATCTTAAACCACAGAAACTCTACACAGACGAAATTATGATTTTACCCGAAAAGTCGCAAAAGGTCATACCAATATAGTCCAATAAAAAATTAATTTTTAAATCAATAAAGAATACTGGCACAATGGGTTGGCACAATGGACTGATCCATACAAACTTGTTGAGTGTCGGTGGTAAAAGTCGACATGAAAACCAACAACAGTAGAATTAATGGATGAGGAATTTTTATTTAAACTGTACCAAGTGCATTTGTTTGAAGTATATTTTGGATAGAATTTAGATTACTTCAGCTATTTTAACATTGTGTCACTAAAAACTATTTCAAATATGATACAAAGTTAGCTGTCACTTACACCTTTGATATTTTTTAAATTGTTATTTGGAATTATCACTTTTTTCTTCATACATTATCTAGTTTTTTCTACTATGGTTTGGATGTTATCATCTTTATTCTCTTCACTAAGAAATAAGGAAAGTTTTTTTAATCATCTAATGCTTTCTTCTTCTTCTGACGGTATTCTCTTTCCCAGTTGAGAGGAGTGCTCCAAATAAATTGATTATTTAATCATCTAATTGTTTCTTTATCTTTTACTGATCTTCTCTTTTTTCACTTGATGTCGGCGTTAAAAAATGGATTATTTTTCAAGATCTTCCGTATCTTTTTATGCATCAAGATGAGCACATCGAAAATATTCTATGTTTTATTTTTCTTTAAATAAAAAGTTTAAGTTAGTATTGAATATTAAATTTTTTAGGTGTCTCCTTTAAGATTTCATTCATGTATGAAAATTTTG